TCCTGCCTCTGCGGTGGGCTGATACAGTCCTCTCTGTTGTGGGTGGAGTTAACTGTCCTGCCTCTGCGGTGGGCTGATACAGTCCTCTCTGTTGTAGTGGAACGGACAGTGTTGTCTCTAACTTTCTGACTTTTGCAGGGGTGAAGCAATGCTGTTCTCTCGGGGGCACGATCCCCTCTCTTATAGGGATGGCATACTTATACAGAACCTGCTCGAGGATGACTGGTGTGCAGGTCTGGTGTACTTCCGTTGCATTGCCAGAGGCAGCTGTAGTGCTTGGCATCACACTTCTGAGCAGCAGTTTTCATCTTTCCAGAACTTGTCCAGCCTTTAAAATGTTTATTGCACTTTTTTTTGTTGCATTTCTCTGGATGATCAAAATGTAACCAGACGGAGAATGTCAAACTGATTGAGCATACATGACTTATGGTCTCCAGTCCTTCCGGATGCTTCCTCCTTCCCTCTGGTGCGCTGGACTGGAGCAGCGCGGGGACGAGAGTCTCACACCCCGCCCCTGGCTGCCTGGAGACCGAGCCGTCTCTCACGCGGACGGCCCAGCCAGAACCCCATCCTGGCGGACTGCGCAGTTCTGGGTGCACTGGAGGGAAAGGGGTGCCCGGGTGGGGCGGTCCTGTGTGAGCTGACGCTGTCATCCCTCTGGCAGGGGGGCTGCAGGTGACCTGCGAGTACACGGCCCACCAGGAGGGGGTGCTGCGCGAGGAGATGGTGCTGCTCAACGAGGGCGGTGACCCGCCCTGCCTCCGGGTCCGAGTCCAGGCCCGCGTCATGGGTAAGGGTCCCGACGGCAGCCGATGGCATCCCCGGGCCTCCGTTTCCTTTCCCCAGGACACGGGAATGAGAGTAAAGTCTCTCTGGCTCGGGAGACCCTGACTTTTCCCAAAAACTGGATGATAGTGATGATTATCCCGACATGCGGCTCACCAGCATGAAACTGCTAGATAGGCTAGTGTAGTTGCGAATGGTGAAGAATACACGATCGTTACTGTGTTTAACAAGCATCACAGTAAACTGTCCTCTGCTGCCACCTGCTGTTCAATGTGGCTATAACAGCCAGTCACACTGTCCTCTTTTCAAGGCAAAGTGTGTTTTTTCTGCTTCAGGAAAGCCTGTGACTGCGCTGTCATAGTCACAGCTGTTGCACTAACAAAGTCACACTTCTTCCCATAAGAACGACCACGATCTGATGTCATCGGTATCTCAGTTTCTTCCCGGCCTCTTCCCTAAGCCCGAGGTTATAAGGCAAGAGATATAAGAGCAAACGGACACTTACCACTAGATTCTTCAACAGCTTCTATCCACAAGCAGTGAGACTGGCGAACACATTTAGCCATCCCCCTCGGACCACACCTACACCATCACATCTACCTCTTTATGATTTCTTATCTTTTGCACATCTCCAGTCATTGTTTACACGTCTGTATTGTTGACATTCAAACTGTCTACATGTTTACTTGCACATTGTCTATTGTTTGTTTGTACATTGTCTTGATGCACTGTTTGCACTTTGTCTTGTTTTTTACACTTGTTTTACAATCGAGAGACTTTCTGTGAGTAAGAATTCCATTGTACCAGTACCGGTTACATATGGCAATAAAGCTCAAGTTCAAGGTTAGTGTTAAATGTGATATTTAGGACTTGCTCTGTGGACAGCCTCTACACCGCCCCTCTCTCTCCCCCCCCCCGGCTGCAGACCGGCATCACGGGACGCCCATGCTGCTGGAGGGAGTGCGCTGTGTCGGTGCCGAGCTGGAGTACGACTCGGAGCAGAGCGACTGGCAGGGCTTCGACTAGCCAGCGCCGGCCCACCGTCTGCAAGGGGGCGTCCTGTTCCAGAATGTGAATCACAGCGGGGGGTGGGGGAGGGCGGGTCTGTTTTAAGGCACAGGTGCACAGCTCCAGTCCCTGAGGGCCAGAATCCCACAGGTTATCCAGGGCTTCTTTAAAGCAGGAACAGTTGGGAGAACTTTGACGGGAGTGAAATTGTTTCCACCTAAGCTAATGATCAGCCCAGTTAGTTCAGTAATGAGCTCTGTGGGCCTCTAGGACTGGAGTTCTGCACCACTGTTTCAAGGGTTACTATTTTTTTGTGTCTTGTCAAGAAACTTTTACAAAGCTGGGAAAAACAAAACTTTTTTTTAGAATTTCTTGTCAAGCGTCTGCTTTTCACATCGGTGTTTGCATCCATGGACAAGGTCTGTGATTTTTGAAGGCAAACTGCTTTTCTTGACAGTCTCTACTGGTGGATCCATGTTTATATGTTACTCGTACTTGATCTTTCTGGCCGGTACTTCACAGGCACTGCCAGCAGGGGGAGGTACAGAGAGCTGTTGTTCTGCTCTTCAGCAATTCAGAGAGCGCCCACCTGCTTATGTAAGATTGTATTGCACAGGTGCACGATTCCAGTCTTTGAGGGAAAGAATCCAGCAGCATTTCTAGGTCTCTTTAAATCATCAACAGCCGAGAACCTTTGAAAAGAGTTCAACTCGGCCAGTTGTGCTAAGAGTGGGCTCAGGTCTTTACCAACAGTGGTGTGACGGCGTCCCCCAGCCCTGGATTTGCGCACTGAGGGAGGGCTGGAAGCGCTGCAGCCCCTCCGAGCTCCGCTGCATCGCAGTGTCCGTGCAGGCTGTGTCCACGCCGTGCACCCCCACTCTCTGGCCAGGCCAGCCTTCGTCTTCAAGGCCAGCTTTAGGCGCCAGGTGTTTTGCAGGTGGGAGGGGACGGTAGGAGACTGGAGGTGAGACACTGGCGCTCCAATCCCCGGGGCCGAAAGGGGAGGAGTGATGGCTGTGTGGACCGGCGGGGGACCTCCCCTCCTCCCTGCGCGGCCCGGGGGCACCTGCGGGCGCTGCTTACCGCTCGGCCCGGAGGAGCACACTCCGCTCGCAAGCGGACACGCGGACACGCCGTGGACACCGCCACCTCTGCCACCGCGGCCATCTGCACAGCTTGGAATGTGTCTGAGCCTCATTAAAGCTCTCCTGCTTGCTGCACAGAAAGGCCTCGTCCTTGTGTTTTCTTACTACCGTACTATGCAATGTGTTACACGGAGAAGGATGACCCCGTTTTAATGCGCCATAAGATCAATCTGGAACATGGAGGCGCTGGTTGACTCAGCCCAGTTTGGGAAGTGCTGCTGTGCCCAGGTTTAGTCTTTGATGTGTTTGAGTGTTAAAAAGGTTACAAAGAAGAGCAGGTGATTTGTGGCCTCTTTGCTTGCTAGGAGTTAATTGACCTGAGCATCTCACCCAGCCATTTCCTGAACCTAGCCAGGGTACCAGCTTCACACACATGGCTGGATAGCCTGTTCCAGACTCCCACTACCTTTTGTGTAAAGTAGTTCCTCCTGTTCTCAGGAGGTTCAAATTTCCACTGGTTCCTGTTTCACTGTTCATTCTGAACCAGTCTGCCAGGTTGACTGTGGCCTTGAAGATTTTGAGTTCTTGGATCAGGTCTCCTTCATGTCTTCATGTCTTCCAGATTTAAAAGGTTCACTAAACCAGTCAACATGTCTTGAAGCCTAAAAAATCTCTGATTGGGATGACCTGCTCTGTTGAATAACAGTGAACCTGGTTCTGAGCAGCTTGGTTTACTGGAGTAGCTGCATGACTGATCTGCAGAACACGACTGGCCTTCCTGACACTCACAAAGGAGCAGTTGTAATATTATGAATAATTGCTTACACTTATATAGCGCTTTTCTGGACACTCCACTCAAAGCAGGTAATAGGGATCCCTCCACCCCCACCAGTGTGCAGCCCCACCTGAATGATGTGACGGCAGCCATAGTGCACCAGTACTCTCCCCACACACCAGCTCTCAGTGGGGAGGAGAGCAGAGTGATGAAGCTATTTCAGAGATGGGGGTTATTAGGAGGCCATGATTGGTAAGGGCCAGGGGGAAATTTGGCCAGGACGCCAGGGTTACACTATATTGGGGCATTAGGACCCACACAGACTGCAGGGTGAGCACCCCCTGCTGGCCCCAGTTGTGTCTGGCCTTTAGGGTCGGAACACCAAACCTGTTAACCCCTGTTTGAAGATTTCAGTAGATATAGCGCGTGTTCAAGGTGATGAACGTTGCTCCAGACTTTTCCATGTTCAAGAGTAAGGCTGGGGGCAGTGGCTGCAGTCAGAGGAAAACTCAAACTAGAAGATGTACTTCACTGCCTAAGAGTTGTCTGAAGGCTCCAAATCTGATGTTTGAGCTCTGAACCTGAGCTTGCAAGAGTTAAGGTTGTCTTCCGCACAGCCAGTGCAAGTGTTAAATTTGGGGGAAGTGTGTCTCACTACATAACGTGGGGAGCGCTCTCCATGTGATCACGGCAGAGGATGAGCACACTGAGCAGGACTACAGAGCTCCACTCACAAGCTCTACCCTGTGGAGGGTGGTGTTCAGAGAGAACGTGTGCTGTGCTGGTTCCTCAGTAGTCGATGTTTTTTTTTCTAATCAACGGGGACCAGATCACCAGCTGTCAGTGGCTGCTGTGTTGTTTTCCCCCACCAGAGGGCAGACCGTGATCATGTATGAAAGATGGACCAGTGACATCATGTGAAATTGCCTAAAACATTTCACAGGCTTGCATTTTCACATGCTTTAATCATGAAGAACTTGGTTGTTTTTCAATTGAATGCTGTTCACTGCAGTTCCACACAGAGATTAACATCTCAAGAAGAGAAATTAAATGAATACACCCTGCTTAATCTGAATAATTAAGAACAGATGAGTTGTGAAAAATAACATTAAAAGACGTCTCTAAATTGTGTTTGAAGGAACAACCAAAAAATAGTAATTGTACACTGCCTAACGGGTCTATGAGACCAACCCTGATATACTCTAGAGTATCATGGTTCAATGATTAGAAAGGTCGTGGGTGTCTAGAGAGATTACGCCAGAATAATTTTCATATTATTTAAGGTAGAAAATCATATTTAGAAGCTCCAGACCCCTTGGGTTTCAGTCCAGGTCCTAATCACCTCTATTCAATTTCTGAGGTTTTTTCAATGGTGCTTCCTCCCTGAAAGAGGCGAGTGAGCGCTGTCACTAACATCACCTCTCACTGACATTCCCCACTCTCATGTTCTACTGCTGGGGGTCCCTGTCCTGCTCCCAGAGACCCCCAGCCCTGCTGGGTTCTGTTCCAGCCCGGCTCTGAGTTAGCACACTTGATCATCGGCTGCGTTTCCTCTGTTTTCATCTCTCACACATGTAGGAGCTTGGCATACTAACTATCGCAATTCGCATGTAAAATCCCAGACTTTTGAGTAGAAAAAAAAACCCTGAAAATATGGCGGTCCCTCACTTTGTAAGTTTAATGAGCTAATTTAGCTCATTAATGCAATGAAAACCAGCACAAGTGGATGTCCAGGACTTGAACCCTGGTCTGAGTCACGCCTGTATCTCCAGGGGTTTGCTCCAGCCGAGTTCTTGATCGCAGGCAAATTTATTTCAACTTTCTATTTCAGGCCTTTTTTCTCAAATAAAAATTGTCTGTTATCTCGTGAAAAGCTGGGAGGTTTCAGGTCTGCCCTCAAGTCGGATGTGAAGACGATATATGTCCCAAGCAAGTGACTATTTCGTGATGTCGTTTACTTTCTAACGACCCCTGTCCTTCCCAGCGATGGTGGCGCTGGCGGCGGCTATAGCGCTGATATTCAAGCCCCAGCAGGGGGCGCGATGTATCGTATCAGTCAACAGCCAACCCCCTGCACCCACAGGGGCGGGACGGTCTGTCCCGGTAACCCCCCTCTCTCATCAGGGGCTCCCGGTGCTGGTCAGGGCTGAGCTCTTTGTGTCGATACACCCTTAACTGCACCAACAGGAGGATGCCTGGCTGGGTCCTGCGCATTTGGTTTCATTTCTACTCAGAGGCTGGAGGTTGTTATGTTATTTATGAACCACTATGATTGCGAGGCAATTTCCATTATGTTTAAAACTGAAAAAAATTAAAGAACTCAAATTAACCCTATTGTATTGTGAGGCTTATAAGGGGTTCAGCGCATTTAACGGAGGGTTGAGATGAAACAAAACCCAACAGGTGTGTGTGATTCATCGGACCGCGCTGGCGAATGATCACGTTTGTCAGCAAAAACCATCACCGCCGTCTTCACATCGCCCGGCGAAACACTTTATAGACACATGGGAGGGTGATAAGGCCTGGAACCCAACAAGAGAAAACAGGGTAAAAGAACTGCAGGATTTTTTTTTCCAAAGTGTCTCTCGTGAAGAAATGCAAAAGCAGTGGCGCTCGCACTACTGGTTGACGCAATTTAAGAAATTATAATTCCAAGGTTAAAAGAAATACCGCAGGCAGGCTACAGAGTGACAACGCTACAATTTCTGAACCATCCTACAGTCTGTTGTTGTTTCTATTGAAAAAGACGGTCCGTGTTGTTTACAGCACATTTTGGTATAATTATATATTTCCTTTTTCGTGTTTGTTAAAAAGCTGAAATCCCCTTTGTAATAATAATTTCTAAGAATCTGGCATGAAGATGAAGTATTATAATGTCTCATGAACCCTGGGCTCCGGTGAGGTGAAGTCGGAATGGAAATACACGCGTGTTGCTGTGCTATACGGTCCCAGTTCCGGACCTACTTTTCTAACACAGCTTCTCGGACGCTTCAAACATTTCACCATTTCTGAGTACTAAAGATCCAGTCGAAGTCGGAACTACTTTTCGGTAGTTAAAATTGCAATATCTTCAAACCGCAAATCCGGTATATAAAATGAGAATTTTCATCATCCATGAGGTACTTTTTGCAACAGATTACGTTAACTGTCTGAAAGCTGCACTGTGACGATTTTTTCTCAAATGCAGTTTCTTTCGTTGAACGAGAATCGACAAGAACCTACCACGTAAACCCTTGGAGAAAGAACCTTTTAAACACACGTTTACACGTTAAATACACGTTTAAATACACAATTGCTTCGATAATAGTGCGAGCGTTTTATTTTTAAAGACACTCTTAATCAGCAATCGAAGTGAAATATAGTATATGGTACTAAAGTGTAATATTTATCAGCATAAATAAAGGGCACTGTAACTGAAAAGTAGAGATTAATTCAGCTCAGATTCCGGGGTCAAACCGAACACAGAGACCTCTGCCCTGTCTTTCTAACACCTGTAGAAGGCTTTACAGCCGAAACGTTGTTTTCTTTTTTCTCTTTTCAGCTGGAATAAACCTTATTTGGTACTGACGCAGCTCCCCACCTGAACTACTATAAAGACTGAAGTAACAGCAAAGCAAAATTTCTAAATTGTGATGAGTTAAAGTATAATAACAATAACAACCATTAATAACAGACTAGTTGTAGCTTGTATTGGGGATAGTTTTCAGGACTTCTTCCAAGGAAAGTAAACGATGAGAAATACTTCTACCAAGTCATTTTAGTCATAAACCCTTTTAGTTCAGCTTGAACTTTTCTTTAAAAAGGAAAACAACCCCTCTTAAAGCTGTGGCTACAGTTGGATTCTTATAAATAACCCCACGAAGGGTCTCCATGTGACGTCGTTGTCTTGGTGTCGTATCACGGTGTGCAGGTGTGCAGGTGTCTGCGGACTCGTTGGCGAGCTATCGAAGACTGTGACGTCACCGAGGGCAGTTTCCTCGCCTGACGTCAGAACATCGTATATGGCGCTTTAAATTGTGCAATAAGAGTTATTTTTTAAAAACAAAATCTACACATTATTTTAAGAAAAGGGTATCAATATAGTTAATTCAATACTTTTTAACATCGAAAAATATAATAAAAATGATCAAAATAATTTTAAAACCTTAAGATAAACTACATAAATATATAAAATATATACATAAAAATGTCTGTACATTTCTAAAAACATTTCAGACACCTGCGTTACTGAACTGTAATCGCTGTAATAGACGCCCAAACCAACGTTATTCTCATAAGATTTTAATAAATAACTAGGTAAGAACTTAGTTTGCCTTCAGCTTAATGAATTCAACAATTTTATTTTTTTAATATTTAGCAAAA